CCTATTCGTAACCGGAATTTGCGTGTATTCTAGAGCCAACATTTCGTTTTGGAATCTGGAATCAGGTACTGCACTGTTCCGACATTGTCGTTCTCCTCATGGAATAGAACATCGGCATCGCTCTTGGTACACTGCATCAAGAGCGTTACTGCGGCGGTCTCTTCATGTAACAGTCCGTAAACAAACATAAGCTTATTGCCTTCGTTGAAGACTCATTTGTACTGCTTTTACAGTATGCCGTACCTGCCCTTTGACGATAGCAGCAGCACGCACCGAATTCAACATCCAAATTCGAATTTCTCGCAAAGCGACGATATCCCGTGAGACCTACGAACACCAGTCATTCAATGTCTATTACGGGTATTGTACTGTAGGGAAGAAATACGTCTAATGCGGATGTTGGGACGCGCCAAGCTACAATCAGAATGGGAACAGGCTTTGGTGGCTCCGTCTCTATTTATTGTCAGGCGTGAGTCAGAGGCAGGTTCATCATTTACACTGGGTGCAGCCGTCGCGCAAATGACACGCTGTGAACCCGATTGCAATCCCAGTCGTGTCCAATGCAACAGGTAAAGTTATCTTTCGAATACCAGAAACTGCTCAGCGACCTTTGAAGTTTTAAACTTGCTGTCGACTGAGAGCAGTGTGCCAGAGAAGGCAGGGATCAGAGCAAAGACTTCGAAGGAAATGACACGTCTACTTCAGTCAGGATAATAGAGGAGGAGGCGTGGTAAAACAGAAATGATGTGATGCTGTACACTGTGCTGTAGGTCTCTCAGGAGTTGGTGGGGAACGTGGAATGCGCGGGAGGCGACACACTTGGAAGACTGTTGACTTGGCAACTCATCAGAAGTCAGCTGGTCCTTTTTTATCGACATGAGCTGATACATAATATACGTTGGAAATTTGTTCATTTATGGTGTAGTGCTGAGAATTTGCAGCGGGCCAACCACAGCTCTGATTTTCCCGCTCCTTGAAAGGTGAGATTAGGAGAGAATATGAAAGGTCCGCCGACCATTAGCTGCAGATGGCCATTTACTATTACAGGTACTCGTAGTGGTTAAAGAGAGGCAGAGAATGTGAGGGGCAATGCAAGTATTGAGCTAGGACGAAAGAAGATGCAGTGCACAGTATCAACGGTTGGGGAAGATGAACAAGGATATACTCGGCCCTGGTTAGAACCGTGCGGGATGACAATGGTACAGTAAATAGACTGTACGTTGCATCAAAATCGGGAGGGAAAAAGTACTGCTGCATTAAAACCAGGCGCTAAATGTGGACTTGGGCAGTCCCCGCTAGCGTTTGGGTTAGGGAGGGGAAGAGAAGGGAAGGGGAGAACTGAAGCCAGTTGTGAATTGGTTGAAGCGGGGGAGGCAAGAAGTAGAAGGGGCCTCGGGTCATTGGTGTCTGTGATGATTGTTGTGACGGAGTGGCGCTGGGGGAGTCTGGGAGATAGGTGAGGGGAGTACGTGGCGTTCGTACTATAAAACATCGGACAGGTGTATGGGGAGGCGAGCCAATGACCGCTGCAACGTGGGAAAATGTAGTGTTGCATATGCGCTAAATCCGGCAAACTATGCGCGTAAATCAGAAAATTTACTCATCTGCACCGCTCGTTGCACTCTGATGCCCTCCCTAACAAGCCTCAAGAGCTTAAACCAGTCATAATTAACTCTACTTTGCAAAACCAACCACACATGCCCGTTCACACCGCCGCCCCGCATACACTCTCGATCCATCCAGTGCTGGCCGGGAGACAGCTCTAGGCCCCTTCATCGTTCGCCACGCTTTCGCCCATCGCTGCTGCATCACTTCGCAGTCACAGGGGCATCCGGCTCATACACCACGCGTCTGGCTTTACTGCTGCACACACAATCAAAAAAGCTAAAATCTGCGGGAACCCCCGCCCGTACATAGGTCCGCGCTACTGAAGATGTCTCAACTTCAGAGTTCTGCCGCTCACATGCCTTGTGGCATGCACGCTTCTATGCGACAGGGGTGTTGTAGTTTGGGAAACCTGCATGTTAGCGGCGCTTAGGCCTCAATACATTATACGTCCAAGGTTTATTGGACCATGTCTTACAACGGGAATCAGAGCTTTTCGTCTTTTCGCCGCAGAATGACTCTTCTGTCGCTTGCGAACCAGGTGGACAGGTAGGGCCAATTGTAGAATGGCGTCCGTCCCATCGCAAAACATAACCTGCAGTTGATTGTCATTTGTCGGGCGGTCGTCACCCGTCACATTCAGGTCTCTTGAAGCCTACACCTTAGTCCAAAAGCACTTCGGAAACCACATCTGAATGTGCTAACCTGTGTTGCCTGTTCTATATATACACACTCGATCGGGCACGAAAATACGCGCATGGTGTGTCAATACTGTAGTACTGTACACCCAGTACAGAGCTCCGTCTCCGTGACTTCCACGCTACGTCCCGAGAGGTCCCACCATTTCCAGAGAGAGAAGGGGTGGTGACAGGCGATCAACGATGGCACACCCATGTGGGCGACAATCCGCTGGCATCATCGCTCTGCTCTTTGCCCATAGCCAATACGTAACCAATCCTTCTTATTCTACCCATCTAGCCACATTGGCGCCCTAATTTGCAGCTCCTCGTTGGCACCTTATTGACATCGATGCCTCTACGTGACTTAATGCCTGCTCAATTGAGCCACTGAAACGTATTAGAAGGTCTGTTAGGTCTCCCTTTACTTTTCTCGCTTCCACACTCTTGCTCGACGTGGACGCCTAGAGTGAAGGCCTACTACAGTACTTCAACGTGCAACCTTCTTTCCAGTGGTTTACATCTGAGCACGGCTGCCTTGAACAATACCTATCTTCCGATCCCATGCGTATATATCCTTTCGCCCTGCTCTCCCAACTGCCGTGTGCACATCTTTAGGCGAAACCGCGTCAACCCATCACACCCTTGTGCTTGAATTTCCCTTCGCGACCGCTGTGCACTACCGACAATGATCTCAAGATGGGTGGCCGCGGCCCTCCTGCCCCTTCTCTTCACTTCTGCGACGACACATTCAATGATGGGTTGGCCACAAAGCACTTCACCAAACGTAAGGACTTGCAATACGGCTTCGACGACCGCGAAGCATTCGAGCCGGGTTTCTGAGAATTGCGATTCCGTTTTGCGCCGGGGCGAGAAGGAAAACAATTCCGCTAACGATATTTGATCCTTGCCACTTTTTAGGTTTGCCGATTAGGAGGAGTACCGAACCCCGGGACGTGCCCGGGTCCCTGCGACCTCAAGGCGATTGACAAAGGCTTCTCCAACTTTGACCGGCCGAGCAAGCCGGCAGCGGTGTTCCACCGCGGCCAAAGGATCAAGGTGAAGTATCAGCGGAACAACCACGGTCCGGGCGGATTTGTGCGACACACGCTTGTGCCGATCGACAAAATGATGGACAAGCGCGCGCATGCGGCAAACGCGTTCTCGTACAGCTGTTTCGGCGCGAAAGCCGTGCGCGCGACGCGCGAGGACATGAAGATGGACACGTGGGGCTTCTCGATGGTTGGCAACGACGGCGAGGGGCGCAGCCACAAGCAAGCGACAGGGCTCTATACGAGCGACGTGGTGATCCCGCCTGTGGTGCCGGACGGCTTCTACGTGTTCGGGTGGGTGTGGTATGGAGGCACGGGTGGGGAAGTCTCCAATCAGCCGTATCGCAAGGAGCCGTTTTGGAAGGGGTACTTCAGTGACTACTGGTCATGCTCGTTCGTCGAGGTGCGCGGCGGGAAGGCGCTGGAGGCGTCGTATACTCCCGTGTTCAAGAATGACATGCGACAGTTCTCGGCAGAGGGGTGCATGTCCGCTAACGACGCGCCTGGCGTGTGCACGCACGAGCCGTGCGTAGTCTACGGCAAGTACCAGAAGCCGCGGCCATTTAAGTCTGAGGGCGGACCGGCGCCGCTGACGCGGGCTAACTTTGAGAGCAACGCGGTGATGGAGCGGTCCGGCGGTGGCGAGACGGAGTTTAGACTGCCGAGGGCGCCGTCGCCGCCGCCGTCACCGTGGGAACGGATCATGAGGCATCCGCTGTACAAGCAAAAGAAGGCGGCTTGCAAGTGCATTGGAGAGGGGCATCGGTGTGGACGGGTGACGGCAAGGAAGAGCGGTTATTGCAAGAAGTGGACCAAGGCTGAAGACCAGTCACAGCGATGCGTGCGGAGCTGCTGCAGGATTTGTCGAAAGGGATTGCCGGATATGGCGAGGTACTGTATAAACCACAAGGTGAAGACAGAGTGTTCGTTGTAGTTTGTCGGGGGGGGGGGGGGGGGGCGGAGATAGGTTGCCTCTTGTGTAGTGTTT